GATACATAAACCTGGCACCATCATGCTGCCTCAGTGAGACATTTTGCTTTCTTGGTTCTGCAAGCTGAATGGGTGCTGTTGTTGTTAAAGCAGCAGCCAGCCTGTATTTTAGTGGCATGTCCCTTGGCAATTCTTATTCATTGTCTGAGGTACTTACTGCTGTTGAAACAGTCAACATAGGAAGCCCTCAACTTGTTTGTGTGAAAAAGTGGCAGCAACTTTTGCAGTCTGATTCTAGTCATTTTCTCCTAGGGTGGGGGTGGAGGGGGAAGGAGGCAAATGCTGGCTAAGGGCGAGACCTGACACCTTTTTTGACTGTGTGAAGAAAGGACATCTGAAGACAAGCCTGTAACTGTACCGGACTCAAACCGGTGTAACAGAATGACACGGATGCCCGAAGGAGGATTACCAGACTTTTATTAATCAGCGCTGATGGTCGTCCCCTCGAGCTTTACAGCAAAAAATAGCGAGGACGACCCCGTGCCGCTCTGTGCATAGACTTTTATCGGATACATGAATAACAGTTTGATTGGCTTTTACATTTCATTGGTTAAAGCACAGCAATACATTATTTCTAACGTTCACGATTGACATTCCAGTAATTGGGGAGGGGTACTCTTATCTTATGCCTATGTGCGGTTTTACTCTGCCTGCTTGTGCCTGTCACAAGTTAGAAAATGTGAAATACAGCTTCATTCTTGCTTACAGGCTAGTGGGCCCCTAATTGCTGTTAGGCTAGTTCCTTATCTTTTTCGGGCAAGGGGCAAATTCCACTACAAGCCCAGCCTTTGGGCAAGGCGATCAAGGTGGTTGCCTTGGGCCCCACGCATTCAGGGCCCCACAGCCCTGCGCATTCACGGCCCTGTGTTGCCCAGCTCCCGGCCCGCCCCACCCAGCCACTCACTCGCTGCCCTGACTGGGAGCCACAGTGGCCGTGTGGCTCAGTCAACCACAACATGCTGCCTTGGGCCCTGCAAACTCTTTGGCTGGGCCTGTCTGAAGAAGTGAGTTGTGCCCACAAAAGCTCATGATATATTTATATATATATATATATTTGTATTATTCTTTAAGGAGCTACAGGACCATTGTGGTTTTTTAAACATTTTTTAGATACAGACTAACACTGCTACCACTCTGAGAGATTTTTCGATTAGCTTTAACTTGTGCTCGCCATTTTGTGTTCCCCAACATCAATGAGAGAGGTTTGCAAGTTGCCTGCATGTCAGCTATGAGTACACTGACCATCCATGCCAGATTTTCCAGGACAGGCCCAATTTTTAATGTCCTGTCTAGGTGTCCCCATGCAACAGTGAAATGTCCCAGAAAGCCTTGGGGCTCCAAATGCAGCTAGAAGTGGCTATGTGCTGCTAATTGGGAATAGGAGCCTGGTGGGACACTTCCTGAAGCCTTTCCCTGCTGCTGGGAATCCAGCCAATAGAAGCAGGGGGAGGTGTTTCCTGTTGGAGCACACAAAAGCAAGTAAACGGCTTGGGGGAGGGAAAGGCAGGGACCTGGCCCACAGTTCAGCTGGGCTGCTGGATGGGGGAAGTGCGGGTGGTCTGTGGTTCAGCTGAGCTGAGGGGGTGGTGCTGGGAACTGGTGCTCAGTTCATCTGGGCTGTGAGGTGGGGAGATGTGGGTAGGGTTGCCAGGTGTTCACCCAGACAGTCCGGTATTTTCACCTCCTGTCCGGTAAAAAACTTCAGAGAATACCAGAGACCTAAAATGTCCGGTATTTTCTGATTTTTTCCCTGGCCAGGAGGCGAAAATGCCGATCACCTGGCAACCCTACAAACACTCAGTGCCCGGCCTCCCCGGCTCCCAATGACCCCAGCCCCCGTGCTTACCTGGTTCCGCAAATCTGTTGGCACAAATTGGCTGCTGACCAAGGGGAAGCCCGGTCTTAGTACTCAACCACTCCCCTGTTCCTGTCCCTGCACTCACTTTTAAAGGGGACATGCTGTTTTAATTTTTTTTTTTTTTTTTTTTTGGCTCAACAACTTTGGTCCCCCCCCTTTCCCCCCCCCCCCTTCAGCAGCAAAATATTTTCCTGTTTTTTTTTTTGGGGGGGGGTCGGTATTTTTGTTTCAACCATCTGGCAACCCTAGATGCAGGCAGCCCACAGTTCAGCTGGGTTGCTGGGGGAGCAGGTGCAAGTGGCCCGTGGTTAAGCTGAGCTGTGGGGGGAGAGGTGTGGGGTGGCTATAGTTCAGCTGGGTTGCTACGGGGGAGGTACAGGCAGCACATGGTTCAGTTGGAAGCAGGGGACAGAGATGCTGGGAATTGTCATGTGCAGTTCAGCTGGGCTGTGAAGGGGAGGTGTGGGCAGGGGAGGTGTGGGCAGCACAAGGTACAGCTGGGCTGCAGGGGGGGTGCTGGGAACTGGTGCATGGCTCAGCTGGGCTATGAAGGAGGGTGCAGGGAACTGGCATGCCTCAGCTGAGCTGGAGGGGAATGCACAAAACTGATTGGCTGGGGGGAACCAATGCACTGCTCAGCAGGACTGCATGGTTCGGGGAAGCTAAGAAGTCTGGGGTGGGCGCAACAGCAGGGGGCCTGAAATGAGGAAAAATCCCTCATTTGGGACCAGTCAGGTCCCGGGTGTGCCAGACCAGGGAGGTCCAATACCTACCTCACGTCCCTTCCTGCGCCCTACCTTCTGGCCAGACACCCTGTCCCCAGTCTGTTCTTGCACCCTCCCTCTTGGCCAGACACCCTATTCTCACCATGCTCCTGCATCCACCGTTGCTCCTTGCACCCTTCTTCCTGGCCACACAGTGCACTTTCCCTTGCTCCTGCTCCCTCCCCCTGGCCAGACACCCTACTCCCACCCTGCTTCTGCACCCTACCTCCCACCCAGACCTCACAACCTCACCTCCTTCTGCTCCCATCTCCCTCCCAGATCCCACACCCCAACCCTCTCCCACTCGCTGGCAGCCCTGTCACACACACTGAACCTCTCAATTTGTCCCCACCACGGAACCTAAGGGGGTCCATAAAATCCACCAGAAAAGTAAATTGGACCTATGAACCTCCTTCTGCTCCCATCTCCCTCCCAGATCCCACACCCCAACCCTCTCCCACTCGCTGGCAGCCCTGTCACACACACTGAACCTCTCAATTTGTCCCCACCACGGAACCTAAGGGGGTCCATAAAATCCACCAGAAAAGTAAATTGGACCTATGAGAAGCCCTAAACCTCAGTCCTTCCTGTCCCTGCCCCTCACCCTGTGGGGCTGGAGCACCAGAGAAGTAAGGTATCTCAGTTGGGAGCCACAGTGAGCATTGGCGGTGCGTCTAGACTGGCAAGATTTTGTGCAAAAGCGGCCTCTTTTGTGCAAAAACTTGCCAGGTGTCTATACTGGCCGCTTGAATTTGCGCAAGAGCACTGATGTTCTAATGTAAGAATTCAGTGCTTCTTGCACAAATACTTTGACGCTCCCGCTCAGGGATAAGCCCTCTTGTGCAAGAATACTTGCACAAGACGGCCAGTGTAGACAGGCATCTTAATTTTTTGCACAAGAAAGTGCGATGGCTAAAATGGCCATCGAAGCTTTCTTGCGCAAAAGCGCGTCTAGATTGGGCACGGATGCTTTTGCGCAAAAGCACTTTTTGTGCAAAAGCATCCGTGCCGATCTAGATGCTCTTTTGCGGAAATACTTTTAATGGAAAAACTTTTCCGTTAAAAGTATTTCTGCAAAATCATGCCAGTCTAGACGCAGCCCAAGAGGAGAGGAGGGTTATTTTTGCTTCTCATTTGTGTGGTCCCCAACTGATTTTTCTGTGAGTCAGTGGCCTCCAACCCAAAAAAAGGTTGCCTGCCCCTGGTATAAATAAAAAACATTGAAACCGTTTGTGTTGGACATAAATTATTTGATTTAAAATGAAGTTTGATAAACTAACATGAGTTAAAATGCTTAATCTGTTTACTGATTTTAAACCCTACTGCAGCACTAAGAAAATGGCTTGGGCATAATTTATGTAACTAACAGTGAGTTTCCATTAGCAGTTGGTGGTCCCTGGAAAGGTTTACATTGAGCCAGGTGGTACACAGGCCAAAAAGTTTGACAACCACTGAAACAGAGGCACCCCTGGTCCCTCCCCCGGAGTTAATGCAATGCAAGTTGAATTAATACAATTGCAGTACAGTTGCATGGGGGGATCCTATGGGGCCTAAAGCCATCCCTCTTAGTAGAGAACAGTAGAAGGAGTTCTTGAAGGGGGTCACCCCCCCTTCTGGTCACATGTCCATCTTGACCCCAGAAGTTACTACCTCCAAGAATGGGACTTCATACAGCAGATGTGCAGGGCCTAAGGAATTGGGAGCATGGCTAATAAGGTCAAGGGGCATGGCTAATGAGGCCAGGGGTGTGGCTAATATGTCCCTATTTTTGGTTCGGAAAATATGGTCACTGTAGCCATGAGGGTATATAATAAACCTGTGACTGATATTTTGTATTAACAAATGTAGTGCTTTTAATCAGGTACCTTCTGCCTGTCTGACACCTGCTGCAAAACAGGCAGCATTTCATTGGGAAAGAAATTTCAGAAAAGTGGAGGGTTTTTTCAAAAATAATCTGCTTTGGTTCAGGGGACAAGAAGGGAGTGAGCAGGGACACAGCATGCTCAGGGAAGAGGAGGGAGATTGTGGGAAGGGAGCAGGACCTGAGTGAGGAAGCTCCCACCTTCCAAGTGGAAGTTTTACCAAGCACCCATGGTTTTCCTTCGCTAGTTTGCACTTCCCTGCTGAAGCTGAAGGCACTTTCCCTTCCCTGCCTTCAGCTTCCTGAGCCCTTTTCTCTCCTCACCTCACAACAATCTCAAAGAGAGCAGAATCCTCCCCCCATCCCATCACCACTTCCTAGAGGATAAGGGGAAAGAGGCAAGAAATCTTGAGAGATCATCTCAGCTTCCAACCTATTAACAGGCAGGGGAGAGGGCACCTGCACTAGCCTTGTTTCTGAAAGACGTAGGGAGCTGGTAGCCATTTTAACTAAGGGAGCCTTCTTGCTTCAAATCCGTTCAAAGACAGGCAAGCTGCCGCTCTTTTTGCTAAGGGCACACCTACTTGATCATCTGCCGCTCATGTGATCAGCAGCCTCGGGATTAGAGCCATCTTCTGTGGAAGCAAGACCGAGCGTTTGCAGCCCTGGGGCTCCTGTTGTGTCCATTCATACGATTTCCCACTCACTAGTGAAGTCTGCACGAGCAATCACTTGTGGTGTGAGTAACCCCACCCTGTAGTCAGGCTGCAGCAGCCTGGATGAATCAGTTTCTTGCGTTTTCTGCTGCTCTCGCTGATTTGCTATGCAGGGAGATTGTCAGGTATTTCTAGGAACTGTGGCTTGTCAGCGGGTGCAGGTGGGGAATTGTGAATGAGGGAGACACTTAAGCTCTGGTTATTCAACATCATGTAGCAAAACCCTTTGCCCCCAAGAGGCAGGGGGATGGGTGTGTGTCTGTGTGGAGACTCGAGTTCTGAAATCTATTTTCTCTTCCGCAGAGCAGGGGAACAAATCTGCATTCCTAAAGTGTATCATTGTGTGCTAAAAAGAGGTGTAATTTCCCCCATTTATTTAATCTCGGTAGTAGTCAGTACTGCAAATCTAATCTGTTGAGAGGATTAATGATTATGGAGTAAAAGAGTTTGATCCCCAACAGCTGTGGAGGGTAAACTAACTACTTTCAAAGTTAGGACTGCAAAGGAGAAATAACCATAAAGACAAAGGTCTCTTTGGTGAAAACAAGTGTGTGTGTAGATTTTTTTTAATGCAGTACATTTAGATGGATGTTGATGTCTCAAGATGCCTTAATTTTTTACAGGGAAGCAAAGAAATTAATGTTTCTTTGTATAAAGTCAAAGACAAAAATTAAACTGTTTGCTATCATCTTTTAACATATTGTGTTTCACAGAGTACAGAGTTTGTGCTTACCTCACAAGTGGTCAAAGGTTTGAAATCCAGGCAAAAGCATGAGTTAAGTTTTAAACAAAGGCCAAATCTTGCTTAACACTTCCTTAATGTCAAGTGAGCAGCTTTAGCTTACTTTTTGCAAACATGTTTATTAAAGTGGAGGATAAGGATTATTTGCCTAACATAAAGGAAGAAGCTCCAAGTTTTTGTTTCCTTATTATTTGTTATAGAAGAATTATTTCTCCATGTGCGAGAGAAACTTCTTAAAACAGGTGGAGGGAGACACCTTGATTATGGAATATTTTTAAATGTGCAGCTGTAAATATAGCTGTAGTGTGCAAGCTTATACTTAAAGCTTCCTAAAGTTAGGATTCACTAACAAAATTACACATGAAGTGAATGAAGGTTGCTTGCATATATTTTGAGACCAAATTCTTTCCATCACTGTATAAAAAGAGCAACCAAAACCATTTCAGGTGCAGAATTGTCATGATCTCATTTTTCCACCTTTTTTTCTCTCTCCTACTTAACCATATGATTAAAAAACTTCAGAGGTGTAGCTGAGTTAGTCTGTAACTTAAAAAACAACTAATAGTCTAGCAGCACCTTAAAGACTAACAAAACATGTAGATGGTATTATGAGCTTTTATCATGTGAAGAAGTGGGTGATAACATTTACATGTTTGGGGTAGCCGAGTTAGTAAGTTACAGAAAAAAACAGCAAGCAAATGGTCTGGTTAACTCCCGTCATCTGAAGAAATGGGCTGTGCCCCCCAAAGCTCATGATACCATCTACATGTTTTGTTAGTCTTTGAAGTGTTGCTAGACTCTTTGTTGTTTTTTAAGTTTTTCCATATGATTCAAGCAGTTTGTAGTTGCTGTTTCTGGGCTTTATTTACTTGCTGTACAAACAGTCATAATGCAGAAAGAGAATTCACAGATCAGAGTTTTAAATAAGATCATGTTTCTCCTAGGAAGTGTTTTCCTCTTTTGTCTTCAGTATAATTCTAGTTCTCATTAGTTGATTTATTTATTTGGACTATAAAATATGTGCATATCACCAGGGCTCGACAGTTACGGCAATCTACTCGCCCGTGGCGAATAGATTTTAGCCCGGCACGGTTCTGCAGCGCAATCAGCGCATGCGCAGTATGCCAAACCGTGCGACTGGCGAGCAGGGCTTGCCGCCGCTTGTCAAACCCTGCATATCACAATATCTCAAGCCACATGAAAAATATAATTGAAAAAGCACATAACTGAAATAGGGATTTAAGAGACTAGTTGCTTTCCTCCCCTCCCCCCGCTGCCTCTGTCAGCAAGGGGGGAGAAACAGGAGCTGGTTCCCCCCAGCACCATCTCCATGGGGGACAGGAAAGGTAGAGGCATAGTGGAAACAGTGTGAGTGAGGACTGAAGCAGTCTCTGCTTGTGCCGACCCCCAATGCGGCTTTTGTACATTTCAAATGCAGAAGCGCCTGTGCTCCCTGGAGAGATTCCTTTTGAAATGTACAAGAGCCCTAACAGGCAGAGGCTTCAAAGGCTGAGGTGTTGCAGGAAGCATGGGGCTAGTGAGGAAACTCCCACTGGTCCCACGATCCCTACCGGGCTTCCTTTTGAAATGTACAAGAGCCCTAACAGGCAGAGGCTTCAAAGGCTGAGGTGTTGCAGGAAGCATGGGGCTAGTGAGGAAACTCCCACTGGTCCCACGATCCCTACCGGGCTTCCTTTTGAAATGTACAAGATCCCCACTGTGGCTCTTGTACATTTCAAAAGGAAGCCCCTCCCCCCTCCCCACCGAGGGACTTTCACTTTTGAACTGTAGCAAGAGCCCTGATGGCGGAGGTGTCCGTCAAAGGCAGAGGCTCACATATAGACTAATCGAATAGTCTATGGAAATCCAATTGACTATTCGATTAGTTAATCTAAATTTAACATCCCTAAACTGAAATAGTTCAAACCGATTTCTCTTTCCTTTGAGATAAGAAGGGTCTGTGTTGTATCTACTAATGTCAAATGCAGAACTTCAGTTGACTGTAGTGAAAGTAGGAATGGATCTTTTAAGACATTCCTTCCTCAATCCATCCCTCAAGAAAATGCTGTGTAAATAGATGGTCTTCAAAAAATGCTGTGAAGGACAACATACTTATGCCCTGTCAGCACTTGAGGTGAATTACAGTCAGGAAGCCTGTATTGAGATTTCATCTGTGTGGCTGGAACATGAAGAAAGGGGCAATTGCTAAAGCTTCTTGCCTTGCATGTGTTTTAGGAAAATTAATCCTGAATAACATATTTGTACATCTGTAGTTGGCAAGGATTTGGCAGTATGAAGCCTGTTATTGTGGTTCATGGTGGAGCTGGCAGCATCTTTAAAGACCGAGAAGAAGGAGCTCGTTCAGGTATTATCAGAGCAGCACTGAAAGGTTACAGCATCCTTAAACAAGGAGGCAGCGCATTAGATGCAGTTGAAGATGCAGTGGTATCAATGGAAGATGATCCACATTTTAATGCAGGTAATTTTTTAAGTATATCACCATAGAATTAAATCTATATGTACTGCATAATTATCCTAGTTTATTTTTCTCTGTTAGTTAGGGGTACGTGGCTTTTTCATTGTGGTGCATTTAGTTGAGCACAGACTGCAGTTAATCTGGATGCTGGCCTCTCAAGATGTCTTATTACTCATTGTAAGTAAAAAGCATGTAGTTACATATAGATTCACAAAAGGAGAGGAGTGTCTCTATTTTTGGTTTCAGTTTTTTTTTAAAATACCTACAGCTTTGTTCTTAATCTGCAGTGTTCGTGTTCTGCAGAAGTTCCTTCATTTTTATGCTATTTAATAAAACCCACACCCTCAGAAGTGAATTGTACTTTCATTTATAATCCTGGCATTCCCATGTAAATCATGTCAGTACAACTATGGGCAAAACTTGGACCTAAATTTTGTCTGTATTTGTCCTATACAGGCAGTCCCCGGGTTACGTACAAGATAGGGACTGTAGGTTTGTTCTTAAGTTGAATCTGTATGTAAGTCGGAACTGGTGTCCAGATTCAGCCGTTGCTGAAACTGATCAGTTTCAACAGCGGCTGAATCTGGACGCCAGTTCTGACTTACATACAGATTCAACTTAAGAACAAACCTACAGTCCCTATCTTGTACGTAACCCGGGGACTGCCTGTATAGGACAAATACAGACAAAATTTAGGTCCAAGTTTTGCCCATAGTTGTACTGACATGATTTACATGGGAATGCCAGGATTATAAATGAAAGTACAATTCACTTCTGAGGGTGTGGGTTTTATTAAATAGCATAAAAATGAAGGAACTTCTGCAGAACACGAACACTGCAGATTAAGAACAAAGCTGTAGGTATTTTAAAAAAAAACTGAAACCAAAAATAGAGACACTCCTCTCCTTTTGTGAATCTATATGTAACTACATGCTTTTTACTTACAATGAGTAATAAGACATCTTGAGAGGCCAGCATCCAGATTAACTGCAGTCTGTGCTCAACTAAATGCACCACAATGAAAAAGCCACGTACCCCTAACTAACAGAGAAAAATAAACTAGGATAATTATGCAGTACATATAGATTTAATTCTATGGTGATATACTTAAAAAATTACCTGCATTAAAATGTGGATCATCTTCCATTGATACCACTGCATCTTCAACTGCATCTAATGCGCTGCCTCCTTGTTTAAGGATGCTGTAACCTTTCAGTGCTGCTCTGATAATACCTGAACGAGCTCCTTCTTCTCGGTCTTTAAAGATGCTGCCAGCTCCACCATGAACCACAATAACAGGCTTCATACTGCCAAATCCTTGCCAACTACAGATGTACAAATATGTTATTCAGGATTAATTTTCCTAAAACACATGCAAGGCAAGAAGCTTTAGCAATTGCCCCTTTCTTCATGTTCCAGCCACACAGATGAAATCTCAATACAGGCTTCCTGACTGTAATTCACCTCAAGTGCTGACAGGGCATAAGTATGTTGTCCTTCACAGCATTTTTTTGACTGAAGTAGGTAATTTGTGAATTCTTATGTGTGCACACTTAAACTTAATATCCTTAAACTTAGTAGAGATATATCATTGCTTAGAAAAACACAAAATAATTGGTTAAAACTACGAGGTAGGACAGAAATTACAAATGTGATAGACAACCACAAAAGTCCCATGGTACTGAATTGACGTATATGATAATAAGTTGAGATCAAAGGTATGCTGACCTATAGGGAAAAGATAGTTCACCATCAATAAGGTGAAAAAAAAACAAATTAGGAGAAAATAATGAAATATCCCCTATTGTATATGTATAAAATATAACAACATCCGCGTAACATATGGTAAAAGTGGCATCCCAGCCGAGGGGCCATAAGAGAAAATGATGTATTCCTTGGGAGGTGCCAGAATGATGGCTACTGGTGATGATGGGGAAAGCAAAGGTGATGAAGAAGTTGATGGCTAACAGGTCAAGTTGTTCTAGAAGGAATAGTGTGAGTATATGGTATGGAAATAGAGAGATACATTCCCTATCTGTCATATGAAGTTGGGGTATTTGTGATTGTGCTAAATGTATGAATAAACAATATTTATAATTATACAAGAGTTCCTAGTCCTAGCAAGGCAGGCCTCTTACTCAGTGCAGCAACAGCAGGGCAAGATCTTTCCTTCGGGGAGGGGGGCTGGGAGAGAGATGTTAGTCCTTGTTTCCAGCCCTCACCCCTCCCTCCTATTTATTCCTCTTCACTTTATTCATTGTCTGAATTGTCAATCTTGTAGACATCAAGCTCAGACAGATAGTAACTGATACTGAAAAGTTACATTTTTCTCAGTAGGACAAGAAAGGTGATCATCTGCAAAACACTGCCCTCACCTTGCCCATTTTCAAAAAAACATGACTAAGAATCTCAAGTCATGTCCTTTGACCCTATTATAATAATCCATTAAAATGGAGTGGCTGTGCCACAAGGCCGAGAATCTGCTGGTGAAATTTGCTTTATGTCACCTCATTAGCTTCACTGCACTGATTCCTTTGGCTTCAGTGAACTAGTGTAACTGAGAGGAAGAATTTAGACCGAGGTGGGCAATAATTTTTGTCTGGGCGCAACTACAGAATTTTTTGAAGTAGCCCTGGACCACCCCGGAAAGGATGGGGCCTAAACAGGAAGGGTACGAGCTTCCTACTCTGGTGGGGCTACCCCATCTCCAGACCATGATTGGTCTGGGGGGGAGCCCCTTTTCCCTCCCTTTCCACTAGGCACCCATGCCCTAGAAGAGGCTTGGCACACTCTCCAACCCCCAGGCCAAACAGGGCCTGGGGACAGGGGAGCATGCAAAGCCTCCTCCTGTCCTGTGAGGAGCAAGTGGTTCTTTGAAGCACTGTGCGCTGCTTGCATGGCAGGGCGGGGGGAAAGCAGAGAAAGTTTCACGTGCTCCCCCGCCCCCAGGCCAATCAGGAAAAGGGCCAATTGAGCCTGGGGATGGGGAGCTGCATGAAGCTTCCTTTGCTCTCACCCCCCCCTCTCCCGAGCAGTGCTTCAAAACATCATGTGCTCCTTGCAGGGTGGGGGCAGAGCCAAGAAGGCTTCCAGCACTCCCCCGCTCCTAGGCCATAATTGGCCTGGGAGGCAGGGGAGCAGCAGGGCCTCTGTGAGTTGGATCCGGCCCACAGAGGCCCTTTTGCCCACCCGGATTTAGACCCATGTGTTTAAACTAGGAAGGTTGTAGAATCTCTGTCACTGGACATATTTAAGAGCAGGCTGGATAGACATCTATCAGGGATGATCTAGATGTTGCTTGGTCCTGTTGTGAGGCCAGGGGACTGGACTTGATGATCTCTTAAGGTCCCTTCCAGTTCTAGTATTCTATGATTTTATGAAACTGAGAACAGCTTCTCAAAATTTCTCAAACTATTGCAAATGGCTGGTAAAACTTCAGGTTATCCTGTACCAAAAAGATCATCAGTCAAAAATGTTAACATTTAACTAGTATGTAAAGCAAAGTACTTGTTATGTGGCTTCCCGTTTTTTGGACTGAGTTTTGTGGCCACCATTTGTTATATGAGAAAATAGATTTTGCTTAATAATGCTTACTCAAATTTATTCTTTTCCCCCCTCAGATAACTCTGAATTCTGTCCTCTTTTTATAATGACTTCACATATTAAATGTCAACGGACTTTTAACAAAAAATTGCTAAGGTTGTGAGCCTAAGCTTTCAGTGAAATAGTTATCCAGCTTGCTTGTTAAAGTTTGCTTCCCTAATGCCCATGATAAATAGTTGTAATCACTGACATACACAGCTACATGTGATAAAGATCATTGAGAACAGCTGTATTTAATGAGTAGGAGAAAATGAGCTGAAAGCTATGTGAAGAGAGGCCTGATTGGAGTGGCTGTTTAAAACTCACCATGTGGTGCTTATCTCCATAAAGGAGAGAGCCATTATATTGTGTAATGATTTACTGGAAAACACCAGCTAAGAGACAATGAGGGAGTGGGAGGTAATAGATGTAAGGACCAAGTGATGAAAGTCTCTTCTCAGATAACAGAGTTCAGGTGGATTTATAAGGCAGTGGGCAAGCGACCAAGGAGCTTGCGAACAGGTGAGTGCTAACAGGGGCTACGTCTAGACTGGCATGATTTTCCGGAAATACTTTTAACGGAAAAGGTTTTCCATTAAAAGTATTTCCGGAAAAGAGCATCTAGATTGGTCCTGGAGTTATCGTTATAACGATGCGCTTTTGCGGAAAAACATGTCTAGATTGGCGGCGCGCTTTTGCGCAAAAGCAGAAGCCTGGAACCATTTTGAAGAGGGCCACCAGACCTTTCCGGGGTGGGGCTGGAGCTCCGTTGAGAAACGTGCTTAAAGGGGTCTCGCTGGACAGCCGTTTGTCTCCTGCACCGTGCGTTAGGACCTCTGGCAGGGACTGATAGCCATAGCAGCTTTAGT